TGAGAAACAGTACTTTTCGTGTAAAAATTTTATGCAATGAGGACAGAGGCACAATAACGTATTACGCTGTTCGGACATAGCGCGGCAAAACCGTAATCGAAAAATAATGAATAAACTTCCTTCATCATTGAAAGAGCTAGACAGTTATGATTAATTAACGGTATGACCATAAAAAATTAGGCAAAACAAAGTTCATATTATTACAAAATTTCACACTTTTGGGATATTCTGGCCTTATTTTTTCCAGATGACAGTGACTATTTGAAGAGGAGTCCAATATCCAATATCGTTTTTACGTGCTAGTATAAACCAATTTGATTTCTTTGTGCTCGCCTCTTGATTGTGAGGTAGAGGTTCCTGATCTTCGGTAAACGTCTGCGTAGCTCGTCCCGCCACTCGACTGCCGTAGCTATGGTTGACTCCAAAAGGTGTAGTGCAGGGATTAATTATATGTGGTTTGTAGTATGAGGTGTGTTAGGACTGTTACTACTGTGAATGGAGTTGATGCTTTCACCGGTTGGTCCTTCGGTATCGTCATCAATAGAAAAGAGGTAATAATAATAATAGATATAATTAGTGAAAGTATTCAGATTAACAGACAGAAAAAGAATAAGAAAACGTAACAACAGTCAGTCAACCGGTATATATATATATACCAGTAATAATGATAATAATAATAGGTGTAGTTAAAGCTGTCAGGAGAGTTTGAGGGCAGAGAATGTAAAGAAGTAAAACGACCAGTTTAATTGTCTACCTTTGAATGGTGTACGCGATTTTAAGGGGATAGGCCATTTGGATGCAGTCCTTGTGTCGCTGCATGGTTGTCCAGCCTTCGCTTAAAGGCGTCCACAGATGGTGCCATAGCTACATATGCCGGTAAGGAGTTCCAGGGACGGAAAACCTGCATGGAAAAGAAGTAGGAGCGCACCCGGGTCCTTGCCCTCTGATGAGCTATCCTTCTAGGATTTCCACGAGGGAGCCTATACCTACTCAATGGCAGGACACTTTTGTTTGGGTGATTTTGATCATTTGTTATTTTGTAGGCAGTAATTAAATCCCCCCTAAGACGACGGTAACTAAGTGTGAATAGGCCTAATTACTTCAGCCTTTCATCATATGGTTTATTTCGGAGACCAACCACTCCTTTTGTTTCCCGTCGTTGGACTCTTTCCAAGAGGTTGGCGTCTGTGATGATATTAGATGGTTGGAGGCGATCGACAGGAAGCCTTGGACTTAGGTTTCGTGCTAGTTGGCACTCGTCAGCAAGGCGTATCTGCAACCTTGAAGGAACTCATGTCCCTTCTGAGATTCGAACCCACGTCACCCAGTGCTGCAGTCAGAGACGTTACCACTGAGCGTCTCTTCTAAGCAGTGGGGGTGCAATGATATTATGCACTTCAAGATGCGGTCTGACGTATGTTTTGTACAACCTAAGAAAGAGCTCAGGAGTGAGTGCACCTAACTATCTATGTGTAAAGTGTATGACCGCATATGCCCTCGCTACATTCCCCGTGTAATTTACGCTTTTGTCCATTTTCTCTGTAAGAACTAGGCCTGAGTCACGTTCCGACGTTGTGCAGAACAAGCTTTCATTGCACAGGGTGTAACGTGCATTCTGCAGCCTACAGGTGCGTAACTTAACTACTTTGCACTTTTTCAGGTTAAAAGTCATGTCACTGGCTACCGCCCTGTCTTCCAGAATGTTTGTATCTTCTTGAAGCCTATCTGAGTCCTCCGGGCACTTTACCAGTCACGAAGGAAATCACTCAATCACCGTGAGTAGTTGAGTGCTACGTTAGCAGGGTTCGTACGCAGTACAGTTGTAGTCCTTACTATAGCAACAATGCAGATGTTACGGATTGCTGACGGGTCAATTAGCAGGCCGTCTTCCCGAACAAATTCTCAACCGTTTACAAAGGACTACCAGCTAAAGTGCACAAGGTAAGCATACCTCCGGTCCTCTTCTCCTTAACCGTAAGACTCTTCAAAGATGATACCTTGATTATCTTGGTCTGGACTTATCATTTTCACATAGCAGATAACAACTTGGTCCATTATATTTAAATCCTCTGTGTTCGAACATTTCAGGCCTTAAAATTTGCTTTTATCATTTTATCTTTGTTTTTCTTGTTTTATAAAGGTGTGCAACGCGTTGCATAAATGAACACTGAAGTCGTTAATTTCATTATAAAATCTTGGAAGATGAAGCATTCTTACTTTCCTTCCGTTACTGAGAACTCGGTGTTATCACAAGTAAGCCTCCTTTTTCAGAAGTGATTTTTCAAATTTCAAGGAGTATCTGGAGATTGGTCGTCCACATATGCTGGGAGAGGTTCTCATTACCATCTCTCTGAGGTGGTCACCATGGATTGAGCTGGTGAAATCACACACACTCATCCAACAGGGTAAAGTAATTTGACTGCTGCATTCTTATGTTATCATATTGGCTATTTTCTCTTTATATTATAGCAAGTAGATAAACATCTGAACAACCACAAGTGTTTTGTCCTTTCCTCACTAGTTCGGTCAATGTTTGGTTCAGCCTGGCTACCAGGTTAGCTGGACCATTTTAAGGAGTCAGAAATAAGTGTGGCCAAGGAGTTTGTCTATCAGAATAGGTGACGACGAAACGATAACCAGTGTCGCTCCTAGTTGAAGCCAACGGGAAACGAGCTCGCAGTCTGCCGAGTAGCCTAACCAACTGGTTTTCTAGAGCCTCACGCTGGAATATCACCTAGCCGCCATAGAAAATTTGTATAAAAGACCTGTCCTTCACTGAAGTTGGGAAGCCAGGCAACTGGTGTCTTCACCAGCTGAAATCGAAATTAAGCAACGGATCACGGAATGTACCCACAGTGTTCGAAACCTGGAGGACTGCTTAGACTGCCAAAGAGATGACAAGATTCATCAAACAAGTGCTAGGAATCTATGAGAGCAGATGATATGGAAGTGAACTCTTCAAATAGTTAATCGGAGAATCAATTACAGAGTCCAGTCACCCAGATAGCAAACACGAGCACAGTAAGGGAGTTGCTATCACGATGTCATTAAACAGCAGCCAAAGCTTTTTAGCAGTGGGAACGAATGTCTTACAGGATGAGGGAAGCAAGATTCAAGTGCCATGCGTCTACAAACAACGCAGAAGAAAAGAAGAATGGAGACTTATATAGGCAACTGAAGACAGTAATGGATAAGATCCAGAACGCTAACATCAACATTCTAATTAGGAAATGAATGCTAGCCACACTGGGAGAAAACAACGCGGGAAAGGAATTTATCACGTGCCGAGAGGCGCTGGGGGAAGTGAATGAGGGCAAAGAACACTTTTCAGACCTCTTCGCCCCCCGTAGTTTAGTGACTGGAGACACACCTAAGCAGGAATAGATTTCACAAGACACATACAAACTTGTAATAGATTTCGTCTCAATCTTAGGACAGTAACAATGCTGCACAAAAAGTCAAGAAAAGGATATCTAATTAAACATAGGATAAAGGTTTCGTCAAGAAGCCAACTCTCATATGAGAAATAAACTGTAGACTGGTTCTGGGCTGTAGACACAAAAGCAATAAAGGGAACACGTGAAAATATACTTTTCAGAACCCATGAGGCTTTTCACTTCAAGATTTCGATTCAGGATAGAAGGCTTCAAGCCTATATTAATCATCTAGTAAGTTGCAGTCCTTGTTTGGTCCACTTTTCATAGACTGAGCGCACAGATATCTTCTTTGGAAGTTGGTTCCAGGAGTAAATAATCCGTTTGCAGAAGCAGCACTCCATGGTCAGATTATTCCTCATTGGCTTCAGAATAATAATATAATAAATATTTATATCAGGCAATATGTAAACATGTGGTGCGGAAATTTTTGCGTATTTGGTTCCAAAATATCTTCTCCTCATTCATGATTTACGCGTAAATCAATAATCTGAAGTATATCACGAAACTTAAGGTTGTTGTCAATGAAGACAGAAAAAATTATGTTAGTTTTTCTCCATTTCTTCAGGAAGTCAATTAAATATACGTCATCGTGTAAAGCCCTCCAAATCTTGATGTCATCAGCAAACAGTAAGCAGGATGACTTAACTACCGATGAAATCTCACTAACATAAATCAAGAAAAGAAGTGGGTCTAGAATTGTACCCTGAGGAACGCCTCTCTTAACCGATTCCCGTGTTGATAAAACCCCGTTAACTAGTACTGTTTGTCTTCTGTCCTTTAGAAAGTCTGGAATCCAGTCGGCAACCACTTTATTGATTCCCAGACTGCCTAACTTTACTAGAAGACCTATATGAGAAACCCTGTCAAACGCCTTGTTAAGGTCGATGAATATGGCATCCACCAATTTGAGCAGGCTGTCGGATATTTCCTAATATGCCTTATACCAGGAGTCTTGTCTTGGTAAAATGCTTGGAGAAGACAAACCTAGTTTATAGTCCCTTCGTCGAATTTTGAAATTCTCAGTCAGATCTTGTACTTGCCTACTGCATAATAAGTGGCAGGGATCTAAGCCGATGAATCGCTCCTCGTATGATGACTTGGTCACAACAGGACTTATTCATATAGCCTTCTTGTGAATTCTTTCTCGAGTATACTGACCTCCTCTTAGATTCTGGCTACTAGCATACAGTTTCCCGATTCTGCCACCACCAGAGTTGTGTATAAGGTTGTGGATGTTAGATTGGTTATTTTAATGTAGGCCATGAGTATTGCTTATAAGGATCTAAAGTTACGAGCTGCTACTGTGCGACATGGTTCTTAAGTATGATTTACGATGACACTTAGGTCCGTATGCATCTGAACTGAAAGGAGTGGTATTTTCTATACGTCGCTTACACTTACTATTGTTCCAGATGAACAAGGTTACAAACTTCGCTACTTCAATGGAAAGATGATCAGAATGAAAACTGTTGTTAACTTAAAACCAATATATGTTACACGTTATATTTGTAGTACTTTAAACATCTTACTTTCGACACGCCTACTATTTGTACCATGAATTTGTTAATGAGAGGGTTCAAGGTCACGCGCAGATGACCTTTCTGCGCAATAGCTTTCCAGTTGTCAACCTCGTGTTAAATAGGTGTTTGCGCTGTGTACCAATGGTGAGGTTCCTGAGTATAATACCTTTAAGTCTGGGGTAGTTTCTGACCCCACTCATTATCCTGTTCTAAAGGTTATGAATAAATTTTGATTCGTATGACCATGTGAAATATTTAGCCTAAATTTATGAATCACAATCTATTATGTTCTTCTAGTGCATATTGATTTGGAAATTTCAGAAGCAGCCTTTAAAAGCCTTGTGGCAATTACAGGGAGATGGTTTTGTTGTAAAAAGCTCAAAATCCCCAAGCTTAAAATGATTCTAGATAAGTTCTGAACTGTGCGTACATGATGCCGTTTTATGGTAAATGAATATTTTGTGCGCCTAAACAGAACCTATTATGTACTGAATTAATACTAGTAGGGCTTAGAAATAGCATCGGAAGCTTGAGTAATGTCAGCTGTGCTGAATCAGTATCAGTTAGTGCTGAATTGGGTCTGAGGGAGACCAAATGATATCAACTAATCAATTGATATCTTTTATGGAACTATCCACTGGTTACTTGATTTCCGCCTGTCGGTATTTGGCTTTCCCCTACCTGGATTCCTGTTCCACCTGCCAAAACCTACGGATATCACTCGAATAAGTACATATTATTATTATTTCCTTTAATTCCTAGAGGAACATAGGGCTTCAGCCGTGCGTCTCCATTGCGTTCGGTTCTCTGCTGTAGTTTTCACCTGGCTCCAAGTCTGCCCACACGCTTTCAATTCCTCTTCACATGATCTCCTCCAGGTCACCCTTGGACGACCAACTCGTCGCTTCCCTTTCGGGTTCCACTCGAGCAATGGCTTGTCTAGTGATGTCACTTGCTGGTTTCCTCAGAGTGTGTCCAATCCATCTCCATTTCTTCCTGCCTATTTGTTTCACGATCGGTTCCTGGTTGGTTCGCTCCCAGAGATCTTTGTTGCTGATCCTCTTCGGCCATTTGATCTTGAGTATTGAGCGAAGGCATTTGTTAATGAAGGTCTGTAGCTTGTTTGAGCTGCTCTTTGTGACACGCCAAGTCTCTGATCCGTATAGTAGCACTGACTTCACATTGGAGTTGAAAATACGGATCTTATTTTTGACGCTGAATGCTGTTGACCTCCACATAGACTTGAGAGAAATGAAAACTTGTCTTGCTTTTCCGATTCTGGCTTTGATATCCTCGTCAGTAAGTACATAATGTAGTCGAAATGAAATTTTGTTTGGAAGTTTTAATTTGTGTGTTTATGGACTCCTAGTTACGGAAGTCACAGTCCTATAAAGCTTCGAGTTCTAAAATATGAAAGAATGTAAGACCATCTATATCAACTTGACATTTTTTGTGTTGTTTAAGTAGATTCTGTTGTCAGTATTTTCAAGCCACGAAATCTCTGCCTGAATTACTAAGAGATTTCTTATTTGTACTCTACTGACAGCAAACGTAATTCTCCTTCGTCTTCAGCCCATGCATGACTGGATATTTCCATGTGATTACTGATTTGCCTTTCTACACTCATGGAGCACATAAAATAAGGGTGGTTTTCCAAAAGATCTTTATTTACAAAACACGTGATAATTTCATATAAGATTAGCGTTACCACTGGGGAAAATCTAAGTGCAACAAGGATGTCACGCCAAATTTGTGAAGGTGAATTTTTACTAACAAATAGTGATTTTGAATGTCTATTTAGGTTTGGTTACTACGAAAAGTAAAATATTTAGGGTAAAAGAAGATATTAACCTTTCATTTCTGCTCGCTATTTAATTCCTTAAGTATCTGGTGGATAAACATGGTTTTGCCACACTGTTTCTAAAAGTGAGAACAAATAAATTCCTCTATGTAACACTTCATGTATTCACTTTATATTCCAGTAAGAAGAACAATGTATATACTGTAATTAGACGAATTTCTATGCAGTTATTGATTTCCGTATGAAGTATTACTCAACCTAGTGCTAGTTCGTTTGCTAACATGCTACTCACTCTTCACATATATAAATGTCTGGGTGGCAGTCACCCAGTATTTTATCACGGTTTCGTTGTGAAAAGTTTGTAGAGTTGCGTACTTGTAATATGTCAAGTTTGTAGGTGTCTCACTTTGTATTTCGGTTGACTCTTCGTTTTATTCTCAGCGATGTAGTTGTAGTCCTAATCGAACATCCCTTATTACATTTTTAAATGTTCACCTTCCTTTTTATGTTGATTTCAGGCAGGAAATCTTCAATGTGGATTAGCTGTCGCTTTGAGTGAGAAATCTATCCCACCTCCACCTAGCTTTATCAAACATCGTGAAGAACTGTGGAATAAATTAAAGAAGGAGTATGATGATTTCGTCGCCTCTCAGCCTCGTTCCCCTATCCAGATTACACTGCCGGATGGTACCATTGTGGATGGGAAGGCTTGGGAAACTACACCGATGGAAGTGGCCAAAAACATCAGGTAATTTTTCAAGAACATAAGTTTATGCTGAAATAGTAATGTATGCTATGTTCATTATTATTTTCACTTTTTTAAATTCAGTGCTGTTTTCTTAATATAAGTAAATCACTGTTTACAATTCATCTATGTGACTAACTGGTTTCAACGTAGAATTTTTCACAGATGTGCAGCAGTTCCAGTTACCACACTCCATATGGCACACAAAGCAAGCGAAGAGAGTAAAGAGAGATTCAAAAGAAAGAAACAAGGAAAGAAGTGTAAGGCAAAAAGAATGGTCATATGGATATGACAAATCACAAGGAGAGAATGCGTCTGTTCCAGCCACTGGGAATGATCTTCAGCCATATCACCAATTGTCTCCAGCCATTGGTTGTTACCATCCCGAGGACCCCAACCAGTCAGGAAGTCTACACCTCCTTACGTGGATGGCTTAAACTAGCTGTTGTGGATTTCATTGACTGATGAAGCCATGTTTGATTGGACACTAGTAGCTAGTGTGATGTGTCTAGTCCCTTCTTTGGTGCAGACTGAATTCTATCAGTCAGGTTTGTAATGTGGCCATTATTCTAGGTAGCTCGCCATCACGGTGCACATTGATTTGATAAAGCCATGTTTTGGCCTGACCTAATCCATCAGATGTAAGCTAACATTACCTGTCGAGGAAGGCGATGGGTAGGCGTACGTAACACGTTTCCTAACCATCTCAATCGGTGTAACTTCACAACCTCATCGATTGATTTCCCCTCCTTACCTAGCGTTCGACCGATGCCTCACCTCAATATTGCTCACATTATACCATTTCACACGGGAGATAGAACGCTGGCACTTATTATCTAAGTAAACTAACCAGGCTTTCCATGTCTTCCATTTTCAATGGCCATGCCTCACCGGCAGCCATAAAGGAGGACAGAGCGAACTGCTGAGCAGCACACACCTTTGGTCGACAGTCGTTTGGATATCACGTCTACGCCAGAGATGACCTAAGCTAGCATATGCCAAACGAGCCTTCTGTATCCATACTTATTTTGTCAGCGATCAACCCATTGGTGCTGATGCATCTCCCCATGGAAGTGAAGTGTTCAACACGATTTATCTATGCAACCTATTTTATACATATCTTTCAATGAGGGTCGTGGTGGATGTAGATTACAGTTGTTTACTTTTGTAACTGTCTACCCTGTCGTTCAAATGCTGAGATACACAATGTGCAATCCAACTTAAAAACCCTGGCACATAGTCCTTTCACTAATTTAACCCTCTTAGGTAACGTGGTTTGACATGCTTAGCATACTGTCCCGGTCACCTTAATTGGTGGGTTTTCACTGTCTCGTGACTATTAAATATTACGGGACAAACTGCTGCTTTTGACATTTCTGTCAATAAGTAGCTGCGTATTTCATTGAAAAGAAAAATGATTCAGTTTAGCCAAAAAACCCTTTGGTATCCACGCTGAGATTCGGCGAGCAACGAGTCCATGGGACTCTTTGACTGGATAGATTAGCATGTGAATACGTGTATATCACAGTTCATTCTTTTTACATTATAATTGCTGTTTATGCATTGTTATAACTCGGTTGAATGAAGTTTTCTTACTTGTCTTATACTGTTTATTTAGTAAAACTTTAGCAGAACATGCTGTGATTGCCAAGGTCAATGGAGAATTATGGGATTTATTACGTCCTTTCGAGAAGAGTTCTAGTCTTGAAGTCTATAATTTCGACCACAAAGATGGTAAGTTTTTTTGTGAATAGGTTATAGATATAACCGTATTTTGCTAAATCATGGGTTTGGTGGTTATTTGTGTGGATTATTTCTCATTACCTCCTTTAAATTATCCGTCAAGAAGTTATTTTCGTGATAAACGTGAATAATTGAATGGATTGTACTCATTGAGTAGTTAAGAAAGAGAAGCAAATTGGAAGTGACATCTTAAAATGACAGGCTCTGTGAACTTTTTCACCGTTTTCTGTACAAGTATTTACGTTCATTTGACTGTCGCTATTTGAACTGAAGTAATCGAGTGAACGTAAGAACATAGTGCTTGTTAGTGGTCACTAAATTACTAAATAGAGAAAAGTGATTGAAATTGTATCATTGATATAACAATAAAACTTGGGCACTGTGGTAGAATGTAATTCCATTATGGGTAAATTTTATTTTGATAGAGTCTCAGTGTTATACAGTAATATTTACTGATGACGTTTCGAGCACAATTTATTGCTCATAATCATATCAAGGTTGTGTATAATATTTGTGGTTTTGAGCAAGTTCTAGCAGTCTGTCAAAATATTTTATTACTAGGAACTTGGAGTGAAACTTATGCGTCATTAATGATAGGATTTAGCAAACTTCACATTTATACTGTTTTTTAGTTCATCTTTTTAAGGGATATATTTGTGAGTTTTAAAGTACTTTAAATGTTTTCTTAGAATGAGGTTTCTTTTTTAATTTTGCTTTATTTCTGAAGGCGAGTATGTATTTTGGCATTCCTCTGCGCATGTCCTTGGTGAAGCCCTAGAACGTTGTTATGGTGGTCATCTTTGTTACGGACCACCTGTCGAAGAAGGGTTTTATTATGATATGTGGCTTCCTAATCAGTAAGTTGGCTTCATATAATTCTTTTTCAAAGCTCCTCATAAAGTTATTTTCAATCCAACTATACTACTAAAAAGAGTTAAATCTGTGAAATGGTTACCAGTTGGTAACCAACATTATTGGTCAGTTGCAGTTGTTGATCGAAATCTGCCCTGTAGTCGCTTCTGAAAGAAGTTATCCAAAATAACAGTGAGCACTTTACGATTAAATTTTACAGCTTAGGGAATGTGGCAGAACTAAAATAAACAATGATAGCATCAAATATATGATAGTGAGACGGTGGATGGATTTATGTATATCTGTGTGTATTAAACTCCTTAAATTCTTTGATCGCTAAAGACATCCTGTTGTTTTTCATTACCTAGACAACAATCTGGACTTCGACCAGAAGATCTGAATGTTGTGGAGAATTTGTGTCACAATATTTGCAAAGAAAATCAACCATTCGAAAGATTGGAAATGAAAAAAGAGGATTTACTTAAAATGTTTGCTTATAATGAATTCAAGTGTCGTATAATCCGAGACAAGATTGATACACCAACTACTACTGTTTATCGCTGTGGTCCTCTTATTGACTTGTGTCGTGGACCACATGTTAGACATACTGGTATGTTGCTAATAGTCTCTTAAAATGTCTGTGTACGTTAATTGTAATGAAAGTTTATCTCTGCAGATGATGTTTAAGCCTTCTTTTGCGATAAAGTATTTTAGATATCTAAGGAAAGTAGATTTTTATTTTTACCCTACATGTGTCTCTAGCTTAAATTATAGACTTATCTGCATAACTACAATTATTGGATTACCTACTGTCAGTAATTGATTGATTGATTTAAACGCAGAAAAACTTGGTACAATATGGTACCAAGAAGATGCGCCACACTTGTGTGAGGGCTGAGATACAACCCGGGCACCCAGACCGAAGCAGGTGGTTTTCTTAAGGGACCACCCCCGAGCCTTTGACTTGGAGTCTAATCCGCAACTCAGCGAAGCAGCGTCAGGAGCTACGTTCCTATGGTTGCCGGTGACCATTATAGGCTCATACTCCATTTGATACGATTGGATTCTGGAGCCCATGTACCCCATGGTAACTGCTCTTAGTTGGACCGCCATCCAAACAACCTTCCTGACATGGTAGGATATGCAGAAACATGAGTTCAAGCCAATCTAGCTTGTCGGGTCACTGCGGTATTCAAGCCCGACCGCCACGACAAGGTAGCAGTTGTCGGCCGGGACTGTCAGTAAGATATATAGAGTGATCAAATACAGTTGCCTGAGTGTAGATATTTAGTGTATTAGACAAAGAGTTGCATTTAATGTTTAAGGATCTGTAATATTAATGGTTTACCCAGACTAAAGTAGGCTTTACAAGATTTGAATGTGAAACCTAATTCTTGAAATTCGAGTACTTAAACAATTGAGTCCCATTCTCACGTACACGAAACAACTAAATTTAATAACTGGTAGAAGCACATTCAAAAGCGAATTTGTCTTGCTGTCAACTTGTTTCTTCTCATTAAAGTAAATAGTTTCATAGTAGGGTTTTTGGAAATAAGTTGTAAGGTAGTTTGCTGTCGCCAGTTTATCTTCCTAAGTATTCTGATACTATACTACTTATAATTCTATCTAACGCAAACGTCGGAGAAAAGTGAAATTTAACTCTGGAAACAGGAAATGGCGAATATAGTTGTATAGCTTGAAATTATTAGTTGAAATTACTTTCTTCTATGAACCTTAACTCAGAATTAGTCTGATAATTGGAGCTAAAATATATTAATCCTACCGTTCGCCTTTTAAACCAGCAATTGCGTGACGTTAGTCCTAATACTAGTGTCACTCGTCATCAAGATTATGAATATACATATACTTTCTCTATCCCAACTTTTAGTCAGTCTATTAATCGTGTTTATTCACTCGATAGTCGTGCTATTGTGTACCTGTGTGGTACATTAAGCAGTTGTAAATTTATATGAGTGTGTCGATGTTTCAGTAGTAGAATACTCGCATGCTACGCATGTGGGCTGGGTTCGATTCCCGGCCGACGCACCCCTAGACCCCGCTTAGCCGGTAATACACTGGCTAAAGAAGGAATGTTGACTGTGATTCTAGCAACCACATCCCTCAAAAGCTACCAGCACCACTGAAACTTCAGATCTCAAGCTTGAAACCCTATGTTTTACTCGGAATGCAAAGGAATAGAAAAGGTGTATATAAACGTCATCCGGAATTTACACTGCTGACGAATCTACTTTGAATGTGTTGACTAGTCAACAGTTAAGGAACTACAGTCGCTATATGTGGTTGTATTGACTAGACGTATAATGTCGACTATTGGGGCGGCACAGATATAATTAAAATCTTTTCCAGTGATGGAAACTTGTAGCCTTTTTAGTGTATTCTTTGGGAGCAGTACTAATATTGTTCACCCGAATTTTTTAACTGACTGCTTAACAGATCCTTGTTACTTCTAATTTCTCTTTCCTTTTATTGAAAATCACCTCTTCTTAGGTTGTATAAAAGCTTTGACAGTTACCAAAAGCAGTTGTTCTTACTGGGAAGGTCGAGTGGATGCTGAAGCCCTTCAGCGTGTATATGGTATTTCATTTCCAGATCCGAAACGTTTGAAAGAATGGAAACACATGCAGGTGAGGTATAATAGATTTCTTATTGTTGCTAAGTAGACCCCACGATCTAGCTGCATCGTGAAGACTATGCAGATTTTAGTCCTCCATATCTGATTGAAGTTGTGAGGGTTGTTTCTAATCAGATACAAGATAGCAGCTGTTTGACTTCAGAAGTGTTCATGCATGGCTCTGTGGAATTATTGATCAGAACAATAAAAGGACTGACTAGTGAATGTAAATATAAAGTGGTTACATTCAACTGCTTCAAGACATCACTCACTTCAGTTAGTCGGAAACGGGACTAATAGAGTGTCGAAAATCCTAGCGTCTGTAGTCATTTGTTGTGTTTGGAAACCAGACAGTTTTCAGGCCTGTACGAGAGTATATTAGGCAATTCTCACTTCCATACTTTTCGGGATGTGACCATATTTGACGCTTCATTTATTCACTAAAGGCTTTTTGTGATTCATTCAATTGCAGGTGTTGTCTCAGTGTCTAGGTGTTAAGATATACATAGAGTATTTCACTCTAGTCAAGGTATTTTACTTGATTTGTGGTAAGTAAACGATATAGCCCTATTATCTTCTGGCCAATCCAAGCGAAAATCTGAATTTTTACGTGCTTCGTCTCTGCCAAAGTTCACAAAAGTAATTACGGGTTATGTTATAACCCATTACTACTAGAAACAGTTTTATTGTATGCCAGAATGTGAGTCAAAGTTGATCTGTGAAGGCTGATGATACTACATAGTTGCCCAAGCTGAAGTAGGCAGGGTGGTGGTATTCGAACCCTAGACCGATTAGGTGGAAGTTGAATGCCTTAGCCAACAGGTCCCATCTCTTAGTAATTGTTAATAATATAGTATTTCGTGTTATTATAATACATGTCCCTGTGGCTATTTGTCTTTCCCCTACTACTTTCTGTTTCTTGTATGTAGGAAGAGGCAGCCAAACGAGATCATCGTAAACTTGGAGTTGAACAGAAATTGTTTTTCTTTCATGAATTATCACCTGGTAGCTGTTTCTTCTTACCAGCCGGTGCGCATATCTACAATACACTGGTTTCATTTATACGTTCTGAGTACTGGAAACGTGGTTTCCAAGAGGTGATCACTCCAAATATTTACAATTCTGCCTTATGGGAGCAAAGTGGGCATTGGCAACACTATAGTGTAAGTTCTGTATACTTATATAAAATGCTGGAGTAAAATTTAAACACAGTAGCCAATTACTCTTATATTCACTAATGGGATTTGTTTTCATCTGTTTCAAAATATTAGGAACATTTATTCAAAATCGATGTTGAGAAACAAACATTCGGTTTAAAGCCTATGAATTGTCCTGGTCACTGTTTGATGTATGCCAAAGAGATTCGTTCACATAGGGAATTACCACTACGATTTGCTGATTTTGGTGTTTTGCACAGAAATGAATTTTCTGGTGCTTTAACTGGACTTACACGGGTTCGTCGGTTCCAACAAGATGATGCACATATTTTCTGTCGTGAAGATCAGGTATGTTGTCAACATTATTTATTGAGTAAAATCTGTAAAGTTTGTATTGTACAAGCTTTAATCCTGCTAAGTTAATCTATATAGTTAAACTGATCATTATCATATGTATATCTAAGTGTTGTTTATTTTAAAGATAAGGAGGGAAAGTCAATCAATAAGGTTGTGAAGCTACATCGACTGAGACGGTTAGGACGTGTATTACGCCTGCCTTATCCATTGTCTCTCTCGACGGACAATGTTAACTGACTTAGGATTAGGTTGGGAAAGAATTAGTCTTGGTCAAACTAGAAAATGGAATCAGTCCTTTAAATCTTTAACAGTTAATTTAGGCCACGCGGAGAGGTATAGGCTGCCTGGTTGAGGTCCTTGGGATTTTAAGAACCATTGGCTGGAGACAATTGGCTCAAAATCGTTCTCATTAAGACAGATGCATTCCCTCTTTGTAATATCTGCCATATCCATATCTGTTGTTTTTCCATGTTGTCATTATTTTTCCCTGATATTTCTGCTTATTACCGTTCCTTCGAATCCCTTTTCTTCTCTTTTTTGTTTTCTTTTATGTTCTCCATGGAGTGTGGCAGCTTGAACTGCTGCACTTCTGTACAGAGTTCTATGTCGACGCCTGTCAGTCAGTCATATTTTAAACATTGCTTTTGTCATGAATAGTAGTGACCTATTGGGTACTATTTAAATTCCTAAACCAATAAGTCACACTTCACGGTGTATAACTATCCAACACTCATTTTCAGTTGTAAAAGGCGTTTTCTAAAACCTAAATTATTTCTTAGTCTAAATTAAGGCGGCAGCTTCACTTTATAGTCAAAATGTTGCGACTGAATAAACTTTTGGTTGAAGTAAGTCGACTAAATGGAATAGGTCTGTCTGTCTGTTTTCGACATAGAACTTTGCAAACATGTGCGGCAGTTCAAGTCGCCACACTCCATGTAGCACACAAAGCAAGAGAAGTAGGTAGGAGAAATGGATATTAGAGACAGTAGACAGGGATATGAGACAAAGGAATAGTAATAACGAAGAAGGAAACAGTTTCATTTGAAATCATAAGTCACCAGGAGTGGATGCATCTGCGCCAGCCATTGAGAACGATTTTGAATCATGTCACCAATTGTTTCCAACCATTGGTTTTTACCGTCCCGAGGACCCCAACCAGGAAGTCTACACCTTCCTACGTGGCCTAGACTAACTGCTGTAGATTTCATTGACTGGTGCCATGTTGTGGTTTGACCGCCGCTCTCTCTTTTCCAGCCTGACCCTATATCAGCTAACATTGCCCGTCGAGGAAGGCAATGACTAGGCATACGTGACACATGTCCTAACCACCTCAACCGGTGTAACTTCACAGCCTCGTCGATTGATTTCCCCTCCTTAACTAGCACTCGACGCCTAACCTCAACGTTGCTCACCTTATTATACCACTTCACATGGGAGATAGAACGCAGACACCTATGATCAAAGACAGCTAATCTGTTCATGTCTTCCACTCTCAATGGCCAGGTCTCACAGCCATAAAGGAGGACGGAGCGGACTTTTGAGCAGTACACACACCCTTTGGTCGATAGTTGGATGTCACGTCTACGCCAGAGACGGCGTAAACTGGCGTATGCGAACCTAGCCCTCTGTATTCGTGCTGAGATTTCGTCGGAGATCAACCCGTTGGGGCTGATGGTACTTCCCAAGTAAGTGAAGCAGTCAACGTGCTCTACCACTTCACTTCCTATTTCTAATCTAGGGATCGGTGAAGTCGAATCCTGCAGCATCACCTTACATTTTACAGGGGCGAATCGCATGCCAAACATACGAAGATTGTTGCTCAAGGTGTTCAGAAGACTCTGCATTTTGTCAGCGTCCTCGCCTAGAAGGACTATATCGTCCGCATATTCTAAGTCGACGAGATTATTCCCTGGTAGCAAGTCAATCCCTGAGTCTCTGAAGTCAGTTAAGGTTAAGTCCATTAGTACGTCTATGATGAAGTTGAATAGGAATGGGGATAATGGGCATCCTTGACGGACACCATTAGTCGTCACCACTTCAAATGACAACTCGCCGTAAACCCTCACCTGGCTGCATGGAATAGGAGTTAACAAAACAGTTACTTTTACCATAGCCATAGACATTAATCGATTAGTTCTCAAGTACAATGATTGTCTTTACATGCTGGTTCATTTATAAAACTCTCTTGGACATTTAAATTATTGATTATATCTCTTCTTAAATGGTAAATATTTCAGTGTTTGAATATATCATATTCTATTCTTCCTGTCCTTTAAAGATTAAAGATGAAATTAAAAATTGTCTAGACTTTTTACGATATGTATACGGAGTATTCGGTTTCTCATTCGAATTGTATCTGTCAACCCGTCCAGAAAAGTTCATGGGTGAAATTGAAATGTGGAATCGTGCTGAAAAGGTATCTCATTGTGCTTTTCTTTTGTTATATTCATTTTCTGTGTGTAATTATTACTTTTCATTATCTCTCTTTTATGTGTTTATGTGAAGAGTTAAACTAAGTAGAATAGGTTGTAGGGGAGTTCTTCATGATTCATTCGTGACCCCATGAGTTATTCAATGATAATTAAGTTAATAGTTTGTCATTACTTTATTTAAAATGTGTAACATATCTCAATTAGTAGAGTTTGTGATGCTTTTCAGTGGTTAGAGTCAAAAATAGGTTAGCCAGCTTTTGAAATTGATATCCAGTGACTGTACATGTTGAGTAATAGAACCAATAATTCAAATTCTCAGCTGTTATGTTGAACATAGCATCTGAAAGTTAATAATGCACATTGTTTTCACGTACTAACAAGTGTAAACATTTTGTTTAGAGCTTCCCGTTACCCCACTTGCTAATTACACGAAATTTCCCTATCGAGTTGTTCTTTGGAATAACGTTCTAATGTTCGTATTTAGTGCGGTTTAAGGATTTATACATTTTAAACTGGAAATATCTTCCATTATTTTAATTTTTCTGCATTATGGTGTTGCGTGTGTGTGCATATCCCACGTACTTAAAACATGTAAGTCCATATGTTATACAGTGTTTTTAGTAAACTTAATTCAACACCATCATCTTTAAATTTTTCATAGCAATTAAAAGAAAGTATGGATGAAGTCGGTATGAAATGGCAACTTAATCCTGGTGATGGTGCATTCTATGGACCTAAAATAGATATAACTATAATGGACGCTTTACGTCGTCGTCATCAATGTGCAACAATTCAACTGGATTTTCAAATGCCAGTCAGATTCAATCTTTCCTATGCTTGGTATGCTTTGTTTTAATTTTGGAACTATAATAAGACGTGTGAGTATATGTATCAAAATTGATACATATACTATTAATTGGTGATATGGCTCAAAATCGTTCTCAATGGCTGGCACAGATGCATTCTCACTCTTAGTGATTTATAATATCCAATAAAATTCCATTGTTCTTCCATATTACTATTCTTTTTGCCTCATATTTCTGTTTATTACCTTTCTTTTGAATCTTTCTTTACTCTCTTCTTTTGCTTTGTGTACTGCATGGAGTGTGGCAACTAGAATTGCTGCACATCTGTGCAAAGTTCTACGTTGAAACCAGTCTGTCAGTATCAAAATTGACAGTTAGTTTGAGTTCCACTCACTGTAACACCAAGTATTTTCCAGCGCAACGCTAGTAATCACTGTGTTCTTTGTAGCTAGTTACTTGCTTCAAGCGTTGGTTGTTCGCAAGTCTCCTTATCAACGTGACGATTGCTGATTACTGGTCGATAGACGGAATTAGGCGTGCATCGATGCCTCCTATCAGCGTGAAACATATGAAGCAGATAGCCGAATGCATTTTATGAAGTATAATTTACTAGCACTTATATTAAAGTATTTACGTATAATTGGGGTTGTCACTAAAAGGGAATCACTTAACGTTTTTGTTGTTCGCTTTTAAAATGTTTCTTCTGGACCAAGTATGTGGATATAGTTACTTAATTGCATACTATAGATTTTGAGACTCTTATCAGTGCCTGAATATCATGATTTACTGAATAGAATGTTCGCGGGTTTAAATTCCTCCGTTGTTACAACACCGGTTTGGTAAAAACAAGGCTATCTCATAGATTATAATAAAAAATCAGATTCTTTGATTGGACACTAAATAGTAGCTAGAGCCGTTCGTCTGGTCCTTCATTTAGTGCGGACTGAATTCTGTCAGCACTTGGTGACCTGGGTTTGAATCTCAGAAGGGACATGAGTTCCTTCGAGACGAGTGCCAACAAGCACAAAACCTAGGCCCAAGGCCCCCCTGCCGATTGCCTCCAACCATCAAAATTGTTTTCTGTATGATATCAGTAGTTTGCATTGTTTAATCAGGATATGTCTTTGATCTTCACTGAAATCCTCCAAAAGAATAGGGGAAGTGTTTAGTTATTTTTGTCGTCTTCTCTTGAGATACTAATTGTTCCCTGGATTCTAGAGATTGGTTTGGGTGATTTCTGACGTTTACAATTGATTTGATTTATTCATTTCATAAGACTTCCGCTGATTTTTTACCTAGCGTGTAACAAGTTAGTGGATTTGTGTGCTGTTTCACTTAAAGCTTATCCTCTTTCTGTTGATCGGTGGCACAGTGGTTAGGACTCTCGCCGACCATGCACATGGTCCGGGGTTCGATCCCCTGACGGCGCACACCCGATATCTATGGTCGGCCTGCAAAATTTGGGCTACCGATATCCATGCTGAAAATTCCATACTTGTACTGAAAATACGATGTGGCATCAAGCTGTAATAAAAAAAAACCTTGCTTTGGTGTGGTATCTTAGCTTGACTGATCTTCGGAAAATAACGCTTAAGTAAAATGATACGTGTACTATGAAGTGCTCCTAATGATGCTTGCGAAAGTGAAACTCAATGAAAATTGGTGTTGTATGCAAAAGTTCCTGTTTTAAAAGGAATTTCAAAGTAGTGTTTTTCTTCTTCAAGAATCAACGTCAAGAAAACCATTAGGAATTAGGCAGGCAACATTGAACTTTGTTTTTACTAGTTTGTGAACCCTTCGAGCATGTAAAATAGTTAATCAATTAACCGTTGGGTTTTTTCCCAAACACTTCACTCGTCAATCAGTAGGAAGAGATCCAGTGGTTTGTGTTGCCAACTTGTGGCGATCCTCAATAACGCATCACCGACATTCACTTTCACCGATAGTTTAATTTCCCCTCGTTATGCCAATGATGGTGTGTTTTTTCGAATTTCCTGGAATCTGTTTTGAGACTAATCGTTCTGGTTGAGATTTCAGTTGTAGAGTTTTGAGGAAACCTGTGGGTTCGTGTAGATCACAAGCTTTTTTTATTGTACCCTGTAAGTATTATCATTTAAAAGATTATTCTTATTTTTTCTGTAAATAGTGAAAGTGATATTCCAAACGGAGGTGATACTGCTTCTAATTCAGTCGACGGCAGCGTATCTAACAAAGGAGCATCTGATCAACAAACGACTGAAGTGAATGTTCATCGGCCTGTTATCATACATCGAGCTATCTTGGGTTCCGTTGAAAGAATTATAGCAATTCTTACAGAATCTTATGCAGGTAAGCAGTACTGTATGTATATAGCCACATTCTGGTATCTTGCTAATTTTGGAACCTGTTGACGTTGCTCAACCAAGTAAGCACCCTACATGTGTAATGCTGTTTTTGGTTGAGTGTTAACGCGTTTGCATATCTGTCGTATATTAATTCAGCAACTTTTATTTCATCACAGGAAAATGGCCATTCTGGCTTAGTCCACGACAAGTTCTTGTGGTGCCTGTTGTTTCAGCGTGTGATGAATATGCTATTGAAGTGAAAAATCGCCTACATGATGCTGGTTTCACAACTTCAATTGACACCGATCCTGGTCGTACATTAAATAAAAAGATTAGAAATGGACAGTTACTCCAGAATAATTTCATTCTAGGTAAGTTTGTCGATTTTTACTGTTTTTCTGTTCAACAATTGTGTGTGTGTGTTTATGTTGGTATTAAACCTCTATTGGTGAAAAGTGGAATGGCTGCATTATCCAGTGAGGCGGATAAGATGAATTTTACACTGTAATATGAATTTGTTGTACTTTGCTACGCTTTTAGCAATTTCATAAACTCTGAGATAAAACAGAACAGTTAATCTACAAAGAAGAAAAAATAATAATCTGCATACTTTAATAATTGATTATCTCATTGTCTAATGATAATTAATAGAAACAGGTTAAACATTTAGATGAAATAGCCTACAACATAGACAAAATCAAATTAGTAGTGGTTTATAGATTCAAGAAATGGAAATAAATGGACTGTAGGTGGAAGATTAATGGTATAAATCTAAAGTGACAGTGGGATAAGTTCAGGTCATATAATTGTCAAAAAGTGATATTATTGATTTTACAACCATTACACTATGCTAAGGTGTGTACGAAAATAAGAGGGACTTAAACTCAACAATAAATAAATACTACTACTACTAATATATATAAAATCCATGAGAAGTGGATTCCATATTAGATAAGTTGGTTCGATGTGACACTCAGGGATACAGTTTAATTAACTGGATAACTTTTTAAGTACAATATATAGCTCATAATCGTATGATTGTATTCTCAAGAATTCCTGTAGTGGTGGAGCTTTTTTCTAGGCTACGTAACTTAGTGAGGTCAATCATTCTAGCACTAGGTTAAATTACTATGTTCCGATAATCTAATTGGCCTGGACCCACTAGTTTGACCTATCGAATTGATCTCGCAGTCGTCAAACGTTATTCAGTTAAATTATATTGCTTTTCTTAATTAGATTCATCATGTCTTTGAGTCGAAAAAGTTTGCATCTGAGTGATGTAGTTGGTTTAAGTGCCATCCTAATTCTGGCTTTATTAAGAAACCCACATAGGGCCACTGAGGCGTTGAATTCCTAATTATTTGTGTTATTTTCACTATTTACGTTAGTACTCCTGTTTTTCTTATCGGTCATAATACATTTTTAAGTCAATTCTGGTACGTAGTTATTCAGTGGTAATATTCTTCTTATTTGTTTGATTTCAATCTATTGACTCATTATTAATCAGCCTCTTGGCCGGGATTGCATAAACAATTGGTAAACCTAACTTTACCTCATTTGGGCACAATGGGTTAAAGTCTAAGTACCCATCAAAATGTAACGGTCTCCCATGCTACTATCTATCTAACTCACCATTTTGTTTTCGTTTTATTTTGCATTTTTGCCTACCTAATTTACCCTATTCATTTTCTAACTTGGAAGTGAACTGAATTCTAGCAACTGCTGAGTTTATATGTGTAAAGAAATGAGGAATATATTCAGATTTTAACACATCATTGGTGATTATGTGTGCATTGGGGATCATCACTATCCTCACTAATAGCAGACATATTTATGGACAGTTGGCAGAGTATATCTCTAAGACCGCCTAATCCCTGCTGCTCCTAGGTGTTATGGTGGAGATATGTAGACGATGCACTTAGTCCAGAAGTCATGTTATCAGAGATGTCAGCAGTTAGCTGTTCTAGCTTTGTTCAATCTCATATAGGATTGGATTAGTTTCATTAACTAACTACTTGAGGGGTAACGAATATTAAGCCGTCCAATTATTTGTATAAATAAACCCAAATCCTATTGTTTTTAAGTATTTGCTCTGTGCATTCACAGTTTTTTTTTACAATAGCTTTTTCTTTCTTCACTTTTTTGTATCAGTGGTTGGTGAAAAAGAAGTCACTAATGGAACTGTAAACGTTCGTACCCGAGATAATAAAGTTCATGGTGAACATCCAGTTGAACATGTTATCGAACGCTTTCGTCAGTTAGCCGCCTCTAGAACACTCGAGGCAGAGCAAGAATTTTGATAATGAATAAAGAAATCATTAACCATGGTGGTTTTATATACCTCGTTGTCAATTCTCCCCTAGTACAAATATATTAATGGATTTTATTATACTTTGTGTTTTAATACATATATTGCTTTGTCACACGGACTGTGTGATGCTAACACGAATTCCTGGAGAGGTAGTTTAAAAGCCGGCAGCAGATTATGAAACTGAATCTATTCCGAAACGTATGTGTGATATTAGAGTAGAAAGTTTCTTTGAAGGAAGAAGATTGAGAAAGTCGTATAAGCTACCAGAATGTTATCATGGACGGATCTTGTAATCGTCTTCAAGATCTGTTGTCAAGCCGTCTTATATGGCGTCAGCGTGATGATCGTCAAAAGCCTAAATATTTGTTTGGAAATTAGATCAGCAAGAGAGCAACAGTTCATCCAGTTATTTTTAGAAGCTCAGTCGATGTGTATCTAATAAATCTGTGTGGATATCTCACAGTTGTTTAAGGTTAGAAATAAATAAAGTAACCCGAATATCCTTGTGGTGAACTGGATTATGCGGCAGACTGTGGAGATATGGAAAACAAGATGCCTAATGTCACATAAATTCAAAGACTTACAGCTAAATTGCAACAGATAAGGGTAGTTGCACTGGCCTTTGTTTACTTTCTGCTAAATATGTAATGGTGTCATCGTACGTGATCCACATAAACGCGTTATATTGTTCAATAGATCTTATGGTTTCTTTGAAAATATGTTCGTTAGTTAACAGTGCTCAACTTGCCTGTTTAATATAGTTGAGAGAATGAAAAGGCTATACTAATCTTATTCTCTACATTGTCAGATGAAGTGTCTTGGTTTTTTCTATATATTATGGATCTGTTTGGAATTTCAGTTGACTTTTTCAAGTTGGTGGGAAGATGCAAACAAAGGTCACGTCTAACAATAACTATAAGATATTGAAGTTCAGGTGACCATATCTCAATAGAACAGTGAATGGAATCTGTAGCCTTTGTTGACTAGTGAACAAACTAGATGAATAAATCACCGTCAGAAATTAAAAAAATTACATTGCCAAAATTCATATTATATCTATGTAAAAGTAGCTTTAAACAGAGAACAACCGAACAGATTTGCAGCATTATACATCATATCGTTTTATTTCTTGGTTATTTATCAAAAACAGTCCAAAATCTCATTAAGGTTTACAAGTATTTGACGAAAGAGGTACTGAAGTTTGAAATGAAGTATCTATGCTTGTGGTGAGAGCTGTCTGGAAGCCAACAATTTACGTCAATTTTTACATCCCGAATCGGGATCCTGAGAAAAAAACAATAACAAAGCTTAACCTTGGGGAACTCACCAACCAATCACAGCTGATTTAACGTGTGCAAGTACGATTCGCAGATATATGCCTTAACATTCAGAGAAACGTCCACAAAGCGATGACAGAATAACCTTCAGCAGGAAAACAACCAATCAGAAGGGGTTGCTTCTCTGCTAACAATAATTGTGGTGAGAGCAAGCTGCTAGCCAATTGGTAGACATTGATCTACGCTGATTGGTAGAAATTAATCTAGGCTGATTCAAGGACCAATCACAGCTGACCTTGACATGGACAAATATGATTCGCAGACAAGTGGCTCGCATTTCCGAGAAACATAGAAAACGAGAAAGCAGAAGACTGCGTTTGTGTGCAAACAACCAATCAGAAGACCGCCTTCTTTCTGCGGGCAGAAGTCTATTAATGTATGTAAAATGCATATAAATACATGTTGGTTATCGTAATAAAACTGATCTGTTGCCAGCCTTGTCTTCTGTTGTTACATTTGGTGTCGCTGCCTCCGGAAAAATGAAGATCCCGTGGCCAGCTGCGTTTGAGGAGGGAGACATACGGAGCTTCCTACGTGATTTCGAAGCCATAGCTGAGCTGGTGGGTGTCAAGGAGCAGGCGGCGAAGGCAGTTGTTCTGGGGACGCTGTTGAGAGGCCGAGCGAAGGCGGCATATGACAGCGTAGACAGGTCAAACGGCACAGTGTCTTGGAAGAAATTGGTTGAAAATTTGGTGTCGGAGTTCGACAGCGCAACAGACAGGCAGCTAGCGATGCAGCAGTTCCGATCAACGAGGCTGGGACCTGATGGAGACCCGTTAGTATTGGCGGTGAAATTGACGAATTTACTTCGACGGGCGCTTCCCACGTTGGATAAAGAATCAGAAGAGCAGTTACTATCTTCCCAATTCATCGAGAGTGTACCAGACCACATTTCTCAGCAGTTAAAACTGGTGAACGCAACGCAACCGATGGATATTAGTGAACTAGCGAAGGTGACCAGACAGCTGCTGAGCACGACTGTAGCCGCTATAGAGCAGCCGAAACCAAATGAATATGAGGAGCAAATTGAAGCATTGCAGCGGGAAGTGGCGGCGTTAAAGTTGGGTAATAGAAAAAACCGATGTTTTGAATGCGGCAAGCCAGGACACTGGAGAAGAGACTGCCCAGAAAGACAGAAAAGGAAAAATTTCAGACGGTATAATGCTTGTTCTTTCTTTCGTATGAACCTAGACTTAGTGGGGGCGATTGAGAAAGGGGCTATGTATTCGAAGTTGCGAGTAAATGATCGAGAAGTAGTATGCTTAGTAGATACAGGAGCGGCCGTGTCGTTGATAGATAAGAATTTATGTAAGAGCGTTAGTCCGTGTTCGTTGACAGTACAAACAGTAGGTGGGCATGTGTTGCGTATAACGGGTAGGTCGAACTGTACGATTGTTGTTGGAGGGTGCGAGGTGACGTTTCCTTTCATTGTTGTGCCCGAACTACAGCGAACGATATTAGGAGCGGATTTTCTGCGGGAGATTGGTGCAATAATTGACACGCAAGCGAAAGTGGTGCTCACGAAATGCGGGCGTATCAAAATGTATGAGACCAGCGAGATAGCAGCGGTGAACCTGTCGACGGTATACAACATGACAGATTTAATTAAGAAATACGATCATCTGTTCACTGGAGATGGCGATCCATACGGCTATTGCGACAAGGTGAATCATGAAATTCCGTTAACTAATCCAAAAGTAATGTCATTTACATCGCGAAGAATACCATGTCATCTGGAAGGCGAAGTGAAGCGGCAAGTGCAAGAGATGTTAAAAGACAATATTATTGAAGAAGCTGATAGCCTGTACAACTCCCCAGTGCTGTTAGTAAAGAAAGCGAATGGGAAGTATAGATTCTGTGTTGACTTTCGACAACTAAACAGTATGACAGAGTTAAAACCGTGTGCCATGCCAACAGTGGTGGAAACTTTAGACCGCCTACAAGGCGCGAATGTGTTTTCCGTTTTCGATCTTCGCTCAGGGTACTGGCAGATACCGATAAAACCAGGTGATAGAGATAAGACGGCATTCAGCGTAGGCCAGACACAATATCGATTTAAACGCATGCCATTTGGACTAGCAGGTGCACCGTTCACGTTCAGACGACTGATGACGCTATTACTTAAGAACTTGAAAAACGTTGAGGTGTACGGTGATGATCTCGTCATATATAGTCAAAACGAAAACGATCATGTGAACCATGTGGAAGCCGTGCTGCGACGCATCGAAGAGTTTGGACTGCGCGTCAACAAAACCAAGTCTCAGATAGCCAAAAAGAATGTAACTCTTCTGGGACATAAAGTGGGAAGTGGTGAGATTAAACCACTACCGGAGAAAATCTTGACGATAAAGACGATCCCGGCCCAAAATTCAAAGAGGAAATTGAGGCAATTCTTGGGTAGAGCGGCGTTTTATAGTCGATTCGTGAAGAACTTCAATGAGATAGCAGCCCCTCTATACAGGCTACTAGGTGAGCCGAAGTTTGTTTGGTCGGAAGAATCGCAGAGGACATTTGACAGAATTAAACAGCTGTTCGACCACCAACAAATGACGCTAAAACTACCTGTACCTGGAAGACAGTTTACAGTATGCACAGATGCCAGTGACTACGCCATAGGTGCGGTCCTAAGACAAGGTGATGGAATCGTTGAGTATGCCAGTCGAGTTTTAACACTCACAGAGAGAAAGTATTCAACGATAGAGAAAGAATGTTTAGCAATGGTATGGGCAGTCGACAAATGGCGACCTTATTTACTCGGCCGGCGGTTCCACATCGAAACTGATCATAAGCCGCTACAATTTTTGAAGACAGCGAGAGACCCACGGGGGAAATTGTCACGGTGGATGTTGCGTCTTCAGGAGTACGATTTTACGATCTCACACGTTCCTGGAAGTGAAAATGTCTTGGCAGATTTGTTATCGAGACCAGAAGACGAGCCTGAGTTGCCCGAGGTCGCTTACGGAGTGCATGCTGTAGAGCAAGACCCCCTAAAACTTGCACGCAAGCAAAGGTTGGATGATACGCTGAATACAGTGATACAGGTGATAACCAACGGGATAGAAGTAGATCAAGCTACGGCGAGTAAGGAGCTAACCACACTACTCAGACAGAGAGATCGACTAAGAGTGAATGCCTACGGGACTCTGACCTGGCGAGAGAACGACGGAAGCTGGCTGGCTATCATACCCCAGTCCTCGCGCCACAACATGATAGAAGAATGTCACCAGCTAGCACATACAGGCGTGGCCAGAACAACTGACCTCCTAAGACAAAGCATGTACTGGCCAGGTATGAGAGAAGACGTAGCAAGATACGTACTTGGATGTCCACGGTGCCAGCTAATGAAAGGCGACCGGTGCATACGACCACCGCTTCAGTCGATTCCAGTTACGGCGATAGGTGACTTGTGGTCCGTAGATGTTATGGGTCCATTTCCGCAGACATCTAATGGTAATCAGTACCTCCTGGTGATGACGGAACACGCGACACGATGGGTAGACGCCGTAGCGATCCCAGATCAACGTGCAAAGACCGTGACAGACGCAGTAGTTAAACACATCGTTGCAGACCACGGCGTACCAAAGACGATACTGACGGACCAAGGTCCCTGTTTCGAAAGTGAAGAATTTACTTCCCGTTTGCAACAGCTGGGCATCAAGAGGATCAGAACGACCCCATATCATCCACAGACGAATGGCCTAACGGAGAGAAACAACCGTACACTGAAGGAGTGGCTGGCC